CATAATATAAAGAGCGCGTCGTGTCGGTAAGCATGGAAAGGTGTGTGTGTGGAGAGAGTGAGAGAGAGAGACAGAGAGAGAGAGAGAGAGAGAGAGAGAGAGCGAAAGGAAAAAATCGCTGGATGATGAGCGTGTATATGTTGTTTTACTGGATGCAGTGACATTTGGCGTCCTGCGGAGTTTCCTGAACTTGAAAACAAGGTTAAAGTCAGGGGTCACTTTTATTCACTGTCAAATTGCTCCAGTGCTGTAAATCATACGCCATGTCATGATTCCCATAAACCCGATTCAAAATAATCACAGTATATAATCATGTCAGCATCCATTCAGCACTGCATTCATGCATTGAATTGTGTTACTTTGAAATAGGGTGTGTCTGCACTGTGGCACACACATATATCTGAGCTTTAATACGGGCCACTTTAAGAGGTTTATGTTTCACTGCCTCATCATAATTAGATCAAACAGCATGATGGTGCCCTCAAAATATCTGGCGCACTGAAGGTCACCTGTTATACTCATTAATTGTGATAATTAATTATCAAGTGAAGGCTCGTGTGTTTATGATAGCTTTCTGATTGGATTCAGGGCTGCCTTGCCCTCCCACTTTACACTACACACTATAATCATGGTATTGCTGACCTTACTGTAAGTTTCAAAAAGTAGAAAGTATAGAAACTATTAAGAGAAAAGGGATGGGGAATGTAAAGATATAGGTGTAAGTATTTTGAAATGTTGAGACAGATTGTTTGCTTTACACTGTAACTATCCATTCCAGGTTATGATTGCTAAATCAAATATGCTGATTTAACAGGCACTGCCACATATTGTCGAACAAAATATATGACGAGTTTGCAATGCGAATTAGATCTTTTTACCTATACTCTTAATTAACATAATGTGTGTGTTACTATTATCACACTCGCTTTCTAAAACATAGGCCTACTCACGCGTATTTAATCAGAATTGTATTATTTCAAATAAGGATTAGACTATAGTCCTACCAGTAATAAAAGTTTATGCATGTTAAGAATTTTAGAATAGTTTTGGAATTTTAAAAACGTTAGGTTTACCAAACGTAGCCTATTTTGTTTACCTTCAAGACAATTTTTCTCAAAGTGAACCCGAAATATATATAGGCTAGGCCTAGATACGCACAGATAATACAAACTTGTTGCTTCAGCTGGGAAGTTGATTTAAATGTAATTCTTATATAATCTTGAACTATAACTTCTCTCTGGTGGTTGAAAGGAATTATTGATTCATTTTAGAAATGCTCAAACAAATGCGCAGGGCCGTGTTGGGTGTTTTTAATGAATCGGTTAAGGATTTGAACAGGATTACAGATGTCACCTTTACAATACTTTGATCTAAAATAGCCCATATTTTAATCCTTAAGACAGTGCCATGACAAAAAAAATTTTTATCGGATTTGGCTTTTTAAAAATAAACTGACTTTCATTGCGGTTTTACATAGGCTATTTATAATAAACGTTTTATTTATTATTAGCTATAGGCTATGTCGCGTTAGCCTATATAAAACGTGTGCCAAAATGAGTTATAGCCTATGCAACATCACTACTTCCTGTTGTACTGGACGAAGCAATTGTAAATGGGATAAACATGTTTTTTTTTATCGATTTATTGATCCGCACGTGTTGAAATGAAAAAAGAAAATCTTAAATTAAAATCGGCATGCTGAATTTGTTACTGCTTTGGTGAACACAGTTTCTAATGATCTCCAACTGATCTTCTTAAATCAATCAATTAACACTTTCAGTTACTTATTCCATCCTGAGTGTTGCTGTAATTGTATCTTTTCACTCTACTTTCAATTGAAAGAAACTGATCCGCTAATGTAATCCACAATCGATTGTTGCATATTTCAATCATCCCCTGTCCAGAACGCCATGAGATCGAGAGTCTAAAAGATAACAATAATCTGTATGTTTTAGACAATCTCAGAGGCCCTTTTTTTCCTGAGATTTGCTTATGAGGTCTTAAAATACATCAATTCGTTTACCATTTAATTATACTTTTATTGTTGGTAAGGTAAGGTAAAACAATGTTATGGTATCTGTAATAGGCCAGCCTGCCATAAACGATGAAGATCCAGTTTTAGAACTCTGGAATTGTAATATTATTAATAGGCTAATAATAATTGTAATACACATTTCACAACAAAATAATATTTAACGATTTTTTAAACAGTTGCATTTCAAAAACAACGAATGTCTGCATAATTGACGATTTAGGATATATTTTAACAGGGAATGAGAGTAAACGTGAATTATATTATTCACAGTTTACAGTATTGGATCATTTAAAACCTTACACCTGATCCCTGAAGTTTTTTTTTTTCGAATCACGTTGTTTGGATAAACATTTAAATTGCCGGTTTATTACTGAAATGCCGTTGAAAAAACAAACTGTGATTTCGGTTTATTTATAAATTACCATCAACCTGTCGTGTTAATATTTGACTCTGTATTGATCTGTGTTTCTGTTTGTTTCATATAGTGCCATTAGTGCTCAGGTTTGGCTTTAATTCACATTTAAAGTAAAGGAGCTCTATTATGTTCCAACATATAAAACACAGTACAGCGATTTGAGGGAAAGTTCAGGGTCAAAAGTCTTTAAATAATTGAATATTCTTTGTGGGTGAATGCACCTATCCCGTTAAGAAATGTTAAGCGGAGAATCTTTTTTTTATAATCAATATTTGTTTCATTGACACTGCCTTTTAGTCTCTTTTTATTGTTTTTTATTCACTGTGAAAATAAAACTAATGAAATCTTTGAGAATTTTAAATACTGAATTTTATTTTTAGACTTTGAAGACTCCCGTGCATAGACTCTGATCATAGGCTATTTAATAAATATACAATTATAAGCTGTTTCACATATAGTTTATAAAACAATAATAAGAAAATATAATTTGATATTACAATTTTTGTGACATTGATTTCAAGACGCATTTACGCGTTACTCTTCTTATATATCCAAACGAATCTTTCCATCACTGCTATATACAGTTAAAAGATTTACAAACTCTGCTTTCAGAGGCAAGGAGAGACGCCTAGGTAGGCCTCAAAAAAAAAAAACTCCATCACCCCCTCACAGACACACACACACACACACCGCTGCGCACGTCACGGAGACACGAGTGCGAATGAGAAATATCGACCACTATGAGAATGTGCGCAGATGTGGCTGGCTGCTAAATTTCGTGCTTGAATACGATCTTTTTCATCAAATTAATGGTCGATGGTGATAATGCAAAGTCTGTGACCTGCACTGTATGGCTTTCCATTTTTGTTTATGTGAAAATAAATGATATCGTGAGCCAGAGAGTTTGTTACCACTGTAAATTCCTAATAAGCGGGAAAACATTCTCTCTCTTTTTTTGCATGCATGCATTTACTTTTATTTGTTGTTATATTTCAGCTGACGATGTTGTTTCATTTCCGAAGTCTTTAATTGTAATTGCCTTCAGTCGTTGGGAATAATAATAAACGTATTATTATTATTATTATTTATTGTTATTATTAAATTCTTGTTACGTTAACCACTTGTCAAATCCTCACAAATGATCCGAGTTGACTTCTAATTTGTCGTAATTTACATTGGGTTTTTTTCTGTTCTTCTTAACTCGTTAATCCGGGTGGCATTGTTCTTGACCCTGACAGATGTATGTGTTTTGTCACTATAAGCAGGTCCCTAAGAAACAAGGAAAAGTCTGAAAAAGTTAATCTCTCTCCCTCCCCCGCAGCTGTTAGCTTCAGGAGTCTTGAAGCGTCACCTTTGACATGTCCCCTATGCGCACGAGCTGGGGGCCCCAGGACTGACCACTGCAAGCTGTCACCCCACCCGGGCTTGGACGCTTTCGCCGGGCTCCAACTGTCCAGTTATCCCATTCTCTCGCTTGACTGGTTATGAAACTGACTTTTTGGAGTCGATTTTAACTGTAAACAATGTGAAGTCGTGCAAAGTGATATCTCTGTAATGTGCGGGGGTGTTTTTTTGTGGTGGGGGGGGGGCTTGTACCTGTCTTGGTAATTTATGTTCTTCCAACTTTCAAAAACTTCTACAAGTTCATCATGTCAGATGTATGGTATTGAATTTTGGATTTTACACAATCTACATTAATTGTATTTTTATATAGCTAGATTTTTATGATAAATTAGTTACCTGTATTTTGTAAAATACTAATTTTACTGCGATCGCGCGTTTTTCAACACGTGAGTTTAAGCACCATGTTATGTATTTGCAAGAAATACACACGTTTGTAACATTGATTTGGGTTTTGCCTATTCAATGAAGTTCACCAATGAAACGTAATGTGCTGTGTCATTATACTGCCAGGCCATGGAAGCGGGACACACTCCTGATGGCTTGGTTCGTTACTCTTAATAGCACAACAATAGAAACATCTGTCCAGCCTTTCTCTGCCTATTACCAATCGTCTGTCCTTGATCCCAAAAACACTCCAACTCTGCATGGGACAGGATGACTTACATTCAGCAATCTGTATATTTGCACAATTTTCTGCAATAATAAAAAATATATATATATTTATATATTGTGTGCGTCAGTGTGGAAACTTTCTTATTTCAACTGAATGTCATGACGATTTATAGGCTATATATAAAATGTTGATAATATCTGCAGTCATATGTGCATGTAAGTAAAGATTTCTCTGAAGTTTGGAGCAGGAACTAATGAATATGCATATTAATGTAAACAGAGGCCCCCAGGTGAACCCGGAAGTGTGTTTTCTGCGCCCATTGCATTAAGGAGGTTCTGCCAAACAAATTACCTTTATTCGTGCATTATTCACGCGTAGCCTTTACTGTGACTTCGTAGGGTCGTCTGATTTTTCATATAGCTAAAGCATAATTGTCACAACACTTCATTCCATTCCGCTGACTTTAAAAAATATATTATTAAGATTAGATATAACAGTGTGAGGTTGATCATGCTGTACATCCAGCAGGAGGCTTTTCTATTTAATAGCAATGGGGTGCATCTTCCTTAATAAGTGACGTCAAAGGAGCCGGGATCAGCGCGCATGCGCGGGGAAGCGGAGCGGCAGCCGCAGCACGGAGCAGTGCGCGAAACAACAGCAGACATGGCAAGAGATGGCGAGGGACGCGAGCACACCGACACCATGCACTGCTGAAGGGACGGGGGCCTTAACATTACAAAAAAATTACAAAACTTTATAAAACATAGAAAAAGCGAAGAAAAAAATCAGAAAAGGAAGCAAAGAAAAAAAAAGATATTCAAGATAAGAACAGAACTTTTCCAATGAGAGCACTTCTGTGGACACTGCTCCGCTATATCAGATAGATGATTTGTCCACACGCTTGCACGTATAATGAACGCCCAGCTGTCGATGGAGAACATTGGCGATCTGCACGGAGTGAGCCATGAACCGGCGGATCTCATGACCGGAGACAGCGCTCATCACAGGAGCCATCGGAGCAGCCTGTCAGCCCATGCGCGCTCCATGGGCATGGCATCAATCCTGGACAGCGGCGACTATCATCACCACCGGCCCCCGGAGCACCCCGGGCTCGCCACGCACCTGCACCCGGCCATGAGCATGGCGTGCGAGGCTCCCCCCGGGATGAGCATGAGCAGCACCTACACAACCCTCACCCCGCTGCAGCCCTTACCGCCCATCTCCACCGTCTCCGACAAATTCCCGCACCACCATCATCACCACCACCACCACCACCATCATCACCCGCACCAACGGATACCGGGGAACGTCAGCGGGAGCTTCACCTTGATGAGGGACGATAGGGGTCTAGCCCCGATGAACAACCTCTACTCTCCCTACCACAAGGATGTGGCCAGCATGGGACAGAGCCTGTCGCCTCTGTCGGGATCCGGACTGAGCGGCATTCACAACTCCCAGCAGGGGCTGCCGCCCTACGCGCACCCCGGGGCCACCATGCCCGCCGAGAAGATGCTCACACCTAACGGATTCGAGGCACACCACCCCGCGATGTTGGCTCGACATGGGGAGCAGCACATGAGCGCGTCTTCGGCGAGCATGGTGCCGATCAACGGCATCCACCATCACCCGCACGCCCATCTCAACGCCCAGGGCCACGGGCAGGTGCTGGGCTCCACTCGGGAGCATAACCACTCCTCCGCGCCCGGATCGCAGCTGAACAACGGCAGCAATTCGGGCCAGATGGAAGAGGTCAATACCAAAGAAGTGGCCCAAAGAATCACCACGGAACTGAAAAGATACAGCATTCCGCAAGCCATCTTTGCCCAGAGGGTGTTGTGCCGCTCGCAAGGGACACTTTCGGACCTGCTCCGGAACCCTAAGCCCTGGAGCAAGCTCAAGTCTGGTCGGGAAACCTTCCGCAGGATGTGGAAATGGTTGCAGGAGCCTGAGTTCCAGAGAATGTCAGCGCTCAGGCTCGCAGGTGAGAGAACAATAGGTAATACACACTTCTTCTCCTCTCCTCAGTTTATCACTCTCATTTCATTTCATTTCCTTCAAATGCATTTCATGGCTGGCCAGCATTCATCGGGTTTGCGAGGTTTCCTAAGCTTACATTTTAGGTTTTGCGATTTTATCATGTGCTTGTTGTGCCACTGATACCTTTAAACTTGAGGTTGTGTTCTCGATGTAAACAATTGACCGCCTAGGTATAGTGATGCCGTGCAATGGGTTTGTTTTGGTTTTCTTGTTTGTTTTTGGGCTAGTTGATGTGCAATTTGACATCCTCAGACTGAGTTGCGTGCAGATAATGCACGGGTCAACAGAAATAGTTTGATCAGAAATGCGCGTCTGGAAGCCTCGGTGGCCTCAGTCCCATTGTCTCTAAGTGAAAATGGATGCAATGTCCCTGTGTCAACTTGTCTTTGCGACACGTTAATAAACACTGATCTTCATCTTTTTTTTATAACATTAGGCTACTGGACGTTGTGGTGAAACAACATGTATTGTATCGTGAATACATTTCGTGTTTGAACTGATGTGCGTAACCGTTACTGTTTATGTGCGCGCACTACTGAAACGGGCTCTGAATGCGTGTCGCAGTGTGTGTGTTTGGCTTTGCAAAGAAAATGACGTTTTTCTTCTTCTGTCTTCTGGTTAGATCACTTTATCTATTGTCCAGCTCCATTGACGTGTGCTCTGTGTAGGTTTTCTTAATTAACTGATTGGGGCTCCATTAATTTGCCTCATGAGAATTAGAATCAATTGGCTGGCGGGTTTGGGGGCCACTGATCCGTTCAAAGCCAGCATTGAGAGAAAAAGAGAGCATCTCAAATACGTGTCCCTCTTTTTTGCACCGCCCCATCATAACTGTCAGTTATTAGAGTAATTAATTTGTGCATGAGAAAAAGCTACTTTAAAAAAAAAAGACCTTTCATGGCGCATATATATATATATATATATATATATATGTGTGTGTGTGTGTGTGTGTGTGTGTGAGGAGAGGTTTATGTCGATTTTAAATTTACGCTCTCTCTTTGTGTGTCATTATCTAAGTCTTGCGCGTGCACACCATCAGTCTTTAGGCTATTTTACATTCTAAGTTGCGCTCGATTTCCTTTCGAAGTTTCGCTTTTATTATAAATATCAATGCCAGGGTATTATGAAAACTGAGGTTGGGCTGATGTTTGGTTTTGTTTCATTCAGATTCGGCCTTGCTCTGACTTTTGACCCACATTCGTAGTAAAAGAACACACATGAATTTACATCATATCATTTAATTTGCACACGTTTCTGTAAAGGACAGTATTATAGGGAATATGCTTACATTCAGGTAATGCATTTTCATATGCTGTGTATTTTTGTTTTCGTTTGGTCGATATAAGCTTCAAAAAATCGTTTGGATCTTTTGCATAATTTTTACTATTATTATTATCAAATAAAATAATAATTAAGTACTGAAGGTAAGGCATGTCAGTTTATTTTGGTTTTGCGAGATTATTTTCATATTCCGTTAAATGATATTGAAATTAGTAAAGGTTCCAGACACAGTGATGTATATTATTGATCGAGTACACATGGTTGAGGGTATGTGATCGGCCTACTGAGAGGTAAATATAGAATTGGTATATTGATTATTCAAATTCAGTTCCCTTCTCCTTTTCCTTAGTAATTTAAGACAGTAGACCACTCAGCAGTCTTTCACATCACTGCTTTTACACCTTTTTCACACGCGGGATTTTTATGCTGTGAATTTGTCGTTCACGCTTTTACATTCAACTGTATTTTGCCTCAGCTCTGTATGTTTATATTTTAGCATATGGTTGTTAATTATGAGGAATTACCATTATATTATTTTTAAACGGTCATCCTGGTCTAATTTTATTAGAAAAACAATTTACTATTCTCATTATAACCAACCTTACATAATTTGCCTAATTTTGTTGAAAAGATAAATAAATGTGATTTTAACCAAATTTTTATAACTCTCATTTTTTAACATTTTTTACTGGTAATCGGTAATCATTTAGCTATCGATATTATTTGGGAATAAATAAAGAAAATGAACAACTGAAGAAATTTCAAGCACTTTGCAAACTACTCCATGAAGGAAATAATATTATAAAAAATTGGCCACATAGTAAATATCAAAATGTATCAAATAATGTAATACAGATTGTGCAAATTTACATTTAAACATTTAAAAAACAACTGCTATCTAAAAAGCCATGAGCCATTTTTAGTCTATTTAAAATGAATAAACTGAATCCAAATGTGCATGCGGCTGCGCTAAAAAAAATTAAGACAGTAATTCAAAAACTATACTAATAATTCTTAAGTAGCCTATCATTAAAATGCGTAACAGACCAGTAGTTGATATATATAACCCATATCTGAACTTCTGCTCTATTATATATTATAATATTACACCGGCTATATATAACGATATGATATAATTATATGACATAATATCGACTTATTAGGCCTAAATTTAAGATTAGGCCTGAAGTTTTGTTTTGTTGCATGGAGCCACTGTGAAATGAGTGACCGTGGGCGCGCCCTCGCCCTCGTGTGCGCGCTTATCTGGCGCCTGTCTAATGATTTGCAGACAAACAGTACCTATATGTGATGATCAAATGTGCTGAAGGATAAAGAGGTTCGCAGTTATTTCCCTGGGAATCTGCTTGGGTCTCGTCACAGTGGCCTTGTGCATGGACACAGTTTTGATTTATGACACATGATAGCGAGCTCATTTGCTTTTTGTTAATATTTACCCAAACTGCTTTCCTTGCGCATAGTTTCGTTCTTTCTTTTTTTTTTACACGGCTTGAACGTACATTCATTATTTATTTAATTTGTACCTCTTTGCATAGTTACAACACAACAGATATAAACAAAATATTTAATAATCGATTTAAATATTATGCATGTTTAAATAATATTCAAAAGATGTAGCCTACTGTTAACGTATTTGAATATTAAATATTCAAATGAGAGTAGGCTTATTTCTTGTCTAAACGTTTGCATGTAAATAAGAAAATGTGCTTTAGAATGAACCATATAGAACTGAGATGCAAATTTGTGTTTTACATATTAATGAGTTGAGACGGTTTATGTGTTTTAGAAAACAGACTGCCTTTATGTGTGTGACGGTTCAAGTAAATGCCTGCTTTAAGCGGTTTTGCACCGTCTTTTAGCGCCCCCTTGCGTTTTTTTTTTTTTTTTGTAAACTAAACCGTTATCTCACCCACTGGGAATTTACGTGCACAAAAACAGAAAATATCCGTAAGCTTCTTCATTCAAAATGACTGCTTAGTGTGTGGTTTATTAAGCGTTTTTTTTATTATTATTGTCAGGCAGTAAGTGATCATACTGGTTATGATAGTGTATCTGCCATGCATATGGCTAGATGTAAGCACCACGGACAGTTCCAGAGACTAGTGTAAATGAAATGACCATACAAAACCCTCCAAAAGCAGCAGTTTGTGTGTTTTGTTTTGTCTTTTCCATGTTTAGAAAAACTCACCCTGTCATGACAAATAAGTCTGCTTCAGAATGTCCGTAGTTTCTTTTGCATGTTAGGCAATCATGTTTGACTTTTGCATGTCAACCTTTTGTTCTTTCAGCATGCAAGAGAAAGGAGCAGGAGCACGGTAAAGGCGAGCGGGGGAGCCTCTCCAAGAAGCCCCGGCTGGTCTTCACTGATGTCCAGCGTCGGACTTTACATGCAATATTCAAAGAGAACAAGCGCCCGTCCAAAGAGTTACAAATCACCATCTCTCAGCAGCTGGGCCTGGAGCTCGCCACCGTCAGCAACTTCTTCATGAACGCGCGTCGACGGAGCCTTGATAAGTGGCTGGACGACGGCAGCTCGGCCAACTCCTCCTCCTCCAGCACTTGTACCAAAGCATGATGGAGTAATGGCTGCATTATGGGAAAAGAAAAAAACAAAACTTCGGTGGAAAAGCTTTAAACAAAGAAAACTTAAGAGACAATTTTAGACAGCGTTTGCCCTTAAAACTTGTACAGTACCGATATTTATAATATCCAAAGAAAAACACCAAAGACTGCTTTGACCCCCATTTAGGACTTTCTTCGTTTATGTCTGACATTCTGCAACAAAAAAAAAGAAAAAAAAAATGAAGTTACACTCCAATCACGGGTCGTTCCCCATCTCAACACACTCCCCTAACTTCCATCTCAAAGTCTTTCTTTTCTTTTTTTCATGTGTTCAAGGACTTTTTCTCATCAATGATTGGTCATTATCTCAAAACGTGGAGTGATTGTTATTCACTCTGATGTCAGATTTCCGTGACATCATAGAGGGGCTTGACCCGCAGGTGTAATGCCTGACATCACAGGCTCACCTCTGTGTTTTTAGGCATCCCAGATCTAGCCAGGGATGCCAAATGTAATCAGGTGGTGTAGAATCTTGACAAAAGTTGCCTGAATGTCACCCTCGGGATAGTGCTTTCTTCCTAATTGTTGGAAAAGTTACATAGGAACCTAAAAATACATGTGAATTTGCCATCTTATCAATCACAGATGGTAGAACCAAAGAAACATGTGTATTTTTTGATTATTATTATCATTTAAATCAGACAAAACGATGTTGATTCCTCTTATCAAGACACTCTTATCAGTTCCATTCAGGTGACTCCATACATGTAATATGGACTGCAGTTCCTGTAGCCATTTAACACACAATTAAGTCTCTTATTTGTCCTAATGAACAAACTAGTAGTAGTCAAGCATATATATGTGAGGACACATCCGTGCCCCCTGCCTCAGTCCTTCCTTGTGATTATTTCAGGGAGATTTTTGCTAGCTTTAACCTGCCTTTTTTTTACCTGTTTTTTAAATGTTTCAATGCCAGTTGCTGAAAACCAAAGATAAAGTTACACTAACTAGCACCTGTCACCATTTCATGCCCACATCCATCAGTCAAACACAGCTTATAAGGAGATATTCTTTTTATGAGTTTCAGACTCTCATTTAATGAGGCTGAAGGTGAAGGCACTCAACACAGGTTTATCGTCATTTATCATATTTAGCTTTGTCTGGAGCAAATGCATGCGCATGTTAATTGTCATTAGAGGAAGCAGGAGGAAATTCAGGTTGTTTTGTGTTACATTTTCCATTTCAAACGTTTCACAGACTCAGAGCGTATATTTCGTTGCATTCAACCGACTTTCTCATCCTTAGAATGTTACACTCTAAAAAATGTGGGTTTGTTTAAACCCATTTTTGGGTCAAATATGGACAAACCCAGCCCAACGTTTGGGTTTGTCCATATTTGACCCAAAATTGGGTTAAAACAACCCAATTATAATGTACAGAAAAACGTTTGAATGGCTGGTGGCTGTCAGCATGCTTTCACAAACCCATAAGCCGTCATATTAGATTCATCGGTTTCATTTACCATGAAGCTCACTTAGATGCTGTTTTTATTTCTTGATAGAAGGCTATTTCATTGTCTAATGCATCATTCTCACGGCATCGACCATCAACGCCACCGCAGTGTCCCCATCCGGGCCCGGGCCCGGGCCTGAACCCAATTTCCCAGTAAGAGAGAGAGGGAGTGCATTCTATGCATTTCACAACTAGGAAGAAAGCATTATTGAGACTGAAGCAGGGTGATGCGTTCGCTTCATATAGTAGACTCACTCAAACTCACAAGATATCTGGCCTTGTTGTCTCTTGTGGTGTGTTTTAGCTTTAAAAATATATTTGGTATTTATGACTATTACAACATCGAAGCATATATAAAAGAGCGCTGCTTCCTCATGTAGAAAAGCAGAAAAAATGACCAAAAAAAAACAAAACAATGTTAAGACCTGCTGATATTTATAGAGTGAACCAAAGATGCTACCTCAGTCCGTTTCCATTCGTGATTTCTATCAAAGTAATGATACCAAAGAATACCAAAGATTTGTTCTCTTTGCACGGCCTAAATGAATGATAAGGTGGATGAATAGATGGTGTGTTTCCCCTCCCTGTTTCCTCCTCTCCTTCGCTCTAATGCTCTCTATCACTCATCCGTGCTCATAACAGCGCCCTCGGCAGACATGTTTTAAACTCACAGGACGAGTGCCTTGCTTGAACCAAAGTGTTAAACCGCCGTTGACCTCTCGACACCCACCTTTTAACTCTCGGAATACCTCAGCCTGTGGAAGGGCCACTGACGAAGAAAAAATGGAATATTTCTTCTCTCTCACCGTGGTGCTTTTGCCAGCGCAACCATGCAATGAAAACATACCAAAGGAATTTCTCTTGCTTTCTCCAACTCTCGCTGACAAACCAAAGCTCCTGCCACCTCCCCTTTTAAACGCCCAGCCAAACCTTGACCCCCCCCCCCCCCCCCCCCCCCCCGCCCCCGCCCTCGCCCTCGCCCCCTCACCAGTGGGTGTGTCCACCGATTAGGCCGTGCACGTCTTTACCAATATCTGAATACCTCATAGTAATAAATTTTCACAGTTCTGTTGTATAGAGAGTTTATGTGATTAAGGCAGAACTAACTAGTTTGGTAAATCATTGATGTTACTTCGGGAAAAAGCTTTATGAGTATTTATTTTGACAGTTTTGGCGAAAGTGCTCCGTTTTGGTCACCAAAGGCGAGTTTCCGTGATATAGCAGACTGAAACTCGCAGAAAGTAAAAAGAAGCTTATTTTTTTTAAAAGCCTTGTGTTATTCCGATACTCTAAGGATGTTTGACTATTCTTTTTTACAGGGTAAAACCAACTGCTGTGATTCTGTGTCTATTCGTTCACTTTCTTCTACTTACGGTGTTGTGATTTCCGTTAATTTAATTGCATTTTTTTTTTTTGTATCGCTTAACCTCTGTTTTAATTTATGTATTTGTAGAAAATATAGATTTGTACATAGTAGGCTTTTTTGGAAAAAAACAACAAAACAAAAACCAAAAAAATGGACATTCATTTTATTTTACAGCCTTATGTCTGAAGTGTAGATATATTGATGAATTTCCATTCCTCTGTGTTTGTATGTTAGATGGCACTTTGGCCCTTGTACTAATACACTGCCAGACAGAGAGCCACGGAGGACTGACCTCGTCGTGGCATAAAAAAAGCAGTGTATGATGTTTTCAGTTGATTTTATTTTTGTTATTTAAATGTCCAGAATGATTTTGTCCTTTGTACTTCAAATCATTGTGTTATGGGTATTGCTGCACATCCAAAGATTTTCTAACCAAAGCAAAAAGTGGGAGGGGGGATGTGGGCGGGGGGGGAAAGAAAGTAGTGTAATTTTTGCATAAGCACTGGCGTCTGTGAGGTTATTTGCTGTCTGCACGGGTATGAACCAGTAGAGGGCATATAGTGGGACAATGTAGACAAGCTTAGTTCAACTTAATGGGGGCATATACTGATAAAGAGTACAATCTGTGGCTTTTGGGACGGAGGGCTACAAGTCCTGCTCACTTTGCTGTGTCGGACACTGAGAGAGGGTGGAGCGTGGGCGGGGCAGCGGGTCTGCCGGGGGCGGGGTCACGTCAACTGGGTTGATTTTTAATCGACGTGGCACTGCTGCCTAGATCCATCTGATATGTCAATTTTGGTTCGAACGTGTGTACCGACAATGAGCAAAGTCTAATAAATCTGCAAAGAAAACAGGAATTGGTGTGTGCATGTATGGGGAGGGCGGAAGTGTGTGTCTAATGTTGTATGTTGAAGGTGACGTAATTTCTGCTCCACTAGTGGCACCAAACAGATCTGCCGAATTGTTTTCAAACACTCTTCCCGTCTTCCATTGTTTGGATTAACGCCTAAGGAATTCTAAATTACCGGGAGAGAAAGGTCCGCATTCAAGTTAGCGGCAGTTAGCCGATTGTTATGATACCCTCAAAAATTGGTTATTGGCAAAATATAGCTATTATGCAATTATGCCATTAATTATGTTGGATAATGACTACTTTTATATAAACAAATGTGCCTGCATATTGGCAAACTAACCAGCCGAGCTGGGACCTCCAGAATTGTCCCACCTCAAAAATCACAGCATTGGTTTCCATTTCTGTTTGATTCTGCTAGTGGTTCAGACATGATTTTGTACACGTGTGTCTGCTTAGGATTGAAGACACCACTTGGAAACATCATGAAAAGAATGATGCAGAACGATGTCCTTTATATTAGCAGGACTGAAGAAAAGGCCCGTGATAGCAGTGCTTTTCGTCTCACTATGCTGTACAATCAGAATTGTTTTATTTGTTGTATTGGGTTTGCTGGCCATTGGTTTCCAATGTCACACAAGGGATATCGGATAGATTATCCAGGTGCAGCGTTTAAGATTTTTTTTAAGAACAGCAACGAGTGGCATAAATCAAGCCCAACTGTGAGTCAAGATCCTCTCTGCCCACAACATAGTCAAAGACTCGGAAGTGTTTGCCCACAGCGTCACAGAATACTCACCCCTTCTCTTCCCAAACCCCACGCTCCGTCCCGACCCACTCCTCTAATGTAGTGTCTAGCTTAGATAGCTCGATGTATGTGAATGTTGGGATTGCTCTAATCATTAATTCCTATCCCAGTTGGTTGTCGTGGAAAAGGAGTTCCTATTTGATAGAAGGCTTGGCTCTGTGTGCCGTATAATACTGAGAGCGCCTAAGACAATCAGCTGGAAAACAAAATCATGTTTTTCATTTTTTTTATATTTATTTATTTTTTTGTAGGTCCAAGAGGGACTACTTCCAGCGATGATTATTATAAAGAAGGAGGAAGGTTTTGATAAACTGAAAAATAAACTTGCTGACATTTTCTTTCACAAAAAGTAGCGCTTGTTTCCATTTCGAACAGTGCATCTTGTATCAAGCTGGTTCTGTTTTTTACACTTTTCTTTTTCTTCTCTTTCTCTGCCTGTTTTCTCTGTATGTCGTGTCTGTTTCAGTGGAGGAATGCAGTAGGTATTACTCTCAGGTAGTAATGCGTCATGCTTTTA